TGCTGAATAATTCTCTCGCTCCCTTGCACTCTCCTGTCTGTCTGTTGCCTCTTGTCTTAAATTGTACCCTGGAGCCAGTAAAGGCGTTGTGTGCAGTATATACTGTGCCTAGTACAACAGGTCTTGGTCTGTGGCCATATTTTTGCCAAGATGTCCATCATACAGTAGCTGATACTGGGTCTGTGATAAGAATATGCAGAAGGAGAAGCAAAAATAAAATTTTACGAAACCAGTATTCACCTTGGGGAAGGTCTTTGTACGGTGAGTCTTACTCCTGTTCTGTTCGCAGCTCCCTCTTTTAGAGGCAGAGACCAGGTCTGTCATCAAGGCGGGCTGGGAGTGGCCACGTAAATGACCTATTCAGTCTTCAGGCTTTTTATAGACTGCTGCCAACCATCTCGGAAAGGCTTTCCCAGACTCTTAGCTCAGACAGGCAGGGGAACAAAACAAGCTGGATAAAAAAGAATACTTCTTGGTTATTTGTATCCATGTATTTCTGAGGTGGTATTTAGCTTTGGGTCTCTACAGTGAGATTTTTTGGGGGGAACCTGTTTTAATATTGAGGCCTTCTGGGAGTTGCTGTAGCCAATGCAGCAGATCATGGCAGACCTCACGGGGAAACAACCCAAGGAACAGAGCAAGTTGGTAGAAGAGGATCCAAAAATGCTTGGGGTGACCAGACTCATGGTGGCGGTCAGTCATGCCTCCAGGTGGCTTGTGGCCTAGCTAGCTAAAACCACAGGTAGACCATAGAAGTAGTATACCACTTACCAGAGCAAAATTGTGGTAAAACAATGCAGCTTTATTCCTAAAAGAAACTAAAAACGTTTTAAAAAGAAACAAAACGTTTTAAATCTAGTGCAGGATATGTACTTGATGATCGGGGAGCTCTAAAAATGAACACTGAATGCAGCATCTAGTTTAAAGAAATCCTAGTTCTGGTCTAAACTCTCCACCATAAATATTAGCAAATAAAACATACCAGCTGCTGCAATGGCTTCAGTTCTGAGATGACTAAACTTGTACATTTCTGAAGCTCTCAGAGATTATCTTTGTCACTGCAAGTTTCAGGTTCATTCATTTTGGAGCCATTACCTTAAAGGTTCATGTCCAACATAGGAAGAGAAATGCAGATTTGTAAGCTCTTTGTGGTGTTAATATTCATCTTTACAACAAAATGTGTGGGCTTCCTCTGTTCTCTGCTGCCGGAGAGGAGAATGTGCATAATCAATTATCTTCTCACCCCACCCCCCAGTAATTTTGCTTTATCTTGAAAAGTAGGGAGGGGAGAAATCTCCTTCCTTTGAATTTTCCCTTCCTGCTTTTGACATCCTATAGTAATGGATCTACAGGGTTTCCCTTCCTAGAATAACAGGAGGATTTCTTACTTGAAACTTTCTTTCTAGTGTGAAAAATCTGATCCAACCCTCTGAGCAAAAGGGACAAAACTCCTCATGCTTCCTTCCTGTTGTTTGTGGGCACTTTTTTTGGAGATTCTCAGTAGTTTGGTTGGAATTTGAAGTTGTACTGCAATAGGGAATAGCCATTTGATTTCACTCCCCTCTTCTCCCCGGTCTAACAACCTCTGAATTAAACCTTAAAGTCTAGCTCTATGAAGCTGCTTTGGGAAGTATCTCTGGCTGGCTGGGTCTTCAGGGTTGTGGCCCATGTTAGCTTGCCTTGATTGACAGGTCTGGTTTCTGCCTTCAAGGAGCCGCAAGCAGAAATAAGACCATTATAATAGATCTGCAGATATTTCTACTAGAAAAAAGATATTTTCAGGTAATACAAACTTTCATATCCTTGACTCCACGTAGAAGCTTTTCCTAAACCTTGCACTCATCTTGCACATCTGTGTGTGTGTATATTTATATATATATGAGCTTTTTTAATCTTTTTTTTTTTTTTTTTTTTTTTTTTGACCTGGGTTGGGCAGACTTAGTAGGAAGAGCTCACAAAACTTCACAGAAACATTTCCCCCTCCTCTTCTCCGTGCCTTCCTACTGCAGGGATATGCTCCACCACCCAAGAATGGGATTGAACAGAAGCGACCTGGGCGACCCTTGAATATTACATCTCTAGTTCGCTTATCGTCAGCAGTGCCAAATCAGATTTCCATTTCTTGGGCATCTGAAATTGGAAAGGTGAGTTCTGAGCTCGTAGTAGCATGTGGTGAGTGCTTTGAGTTATCTTTGGTGAGTAGTATTCCTTTTTTCATCTTCATTGTCGCTATCAAGACATGTGCTAACCAAGATACTTCTCATGCTCCTTCATTCTGTCTTCCCATCTGTGCCATCTAGAAGCTTTAAACAGTTTGCCAGAAATGCTACTTAGAGAAGTTCCCTACA